GGGAATGGATGGGCTTTAAGGTCCCTTCCAACCCAGCCATGCTGGGATTCCATGACTGCCAGGAAGGGATGGGATCCACCTGACCAAGTGGGGCAAAAGCCTGGTTTCCAACAGACTGGCCAACATGGCTTCAAACCCTCCACATGGGAAGGAGATGCACCATTAAAAAAGGGCAAAAAAAAGGATATTCTGGGAGAAGAGGAAATATTATTTCTGAGTGGAGGGAAGCGAAAGGGCATCAGACCTTCAGTTTGGATTTCAGGCCATGGTTATCTTCCTTTCAGAAACTTATCCATGACATTGTTATTCATCTGAAAAGACCTCTTTTTTTCTCCTTCTGATGAAGAACTGGCTCCCAGAAAGAGAGTGGAAGATGATGGGAAAAAACTTGGGAGACAGCTCCACACCCACACTCTGCCTCCACGGATGCCACGGGGTTTGCCCTCCCCTCAAGGACACGTGGTTGGTGCCAACATCAGCTCCAGGGAGCAGGAGGCTGGGCCTGGCCTAATTCCAAGCACATTTATCCATTTGTGTTTCCTTGCCATGTATCATCTCATCTGCAGTGGGAAATCACTGTGTATTCCCGAGAACATCTCCATCCTGCTCTGTGGAAAGAAGCCCAGTGTTTCTCAAGTGGAACAGTATTAGGCCAGCTAAAAAAATAGTAGAAATTTGCTGAAGGTAAGAAAAAAAAAACTTGTATAAAATCCCATCAGGATTTTAGGGGAAAAGAGGTCATAAAGCCCATTTTCCCTGTGAGCAGTGGAACAGAAACTTAGACCTTCTTCCTTCCCCAAGGAGAGAGCTCAGATGTCCCTGGCTTCCCATTATTTAATTTGGGGAAGCTGAGAAGGGGTAGCCATGGGAATGAAGTCTGGAAGTCAGCCTTGTAAGAGGGATTCTCAGTTGAGTATTGCAGGGTATAGTGGCAATAAAAAACAGAGGTTTTTTGCTCATTTGCTGAGAGACTCAACTACTGTTTTCGACCCCAAAGTGTTCCCTGGGAGCAAACCAGCAGCAGATTGATTTTTCTCCCCTTCAGGCTGCTCTTCTCTGCTGGTACAGTGCCAGAAGTTTAATTAAATGTCAAGTGTTGCCACATTTGTGCCCGGGGAAGGGAGGGAGGGAGAGGCTGGGGCTGAATTTTGGGAGCAGGGCAGCACCAGCAGCCCTGCAGGGTGTGAGCTCACCTTCCCTTTGCTGATGATGAAGAAGGTGTCCCCTCGAGCTCCTTGTCTGATGATGTACTCTCCACTTTCATAGTGTGTCTGTAAAGGGAGAAAAAAACCAGATGAAGATGAGCAAACCCGAGCAGAGCCTGTTTTCCAGGGGATCCTTGGGCAGTTCTGCAGGATAAAATCACCCCACACCAATTTTCTCCCAGCCCAACACTGGCTGGGACTCAAAGATTGTCCTCTGTCAAGGGATGGAAGGATTAAATTGCAACAGTTTCTGGCTTGCCCATTTTTCCTCAGGCTGTGCCAGTGCCAGCTTTTGCCCAGATGAATTATCCTCACAGCCTAAATCCATTTTTAGCACGTCAAAAGGACAGAGGAGTTTTCATAAGGGAATACAGGACATGAGCTAAACTGCAATAATGTGTCTGTTGTAACAATAATTCTTTTTCTTCTCTTTTTTTTTTCTTGTGGTTTTGCTGGTTTCCCAGCTTTGCTAGCAAGGGCTTTATTCAACAAACAATTTTCTTTCTCTTCTCCTGTTATTACAGTAGTTTAATCTGCCTGGTTTTTTCTGCCTTATTGCGTGGAATATTCCTTGCTAAATCCATGTCACAGCTTATCAACACCTCCATCCCCTGGATCAGCCCAGCAGAGGCAATTTGCATTTCTACATCACCAAAAAACCCCAAAGCCAACATTTCCTGATATTTTTTCCCAATATTTTCTAAATAAAGACTCTCCATTCATATCCAGACCACCCCAAACCCTCTGGCTCAGGTGCTGTTTGAAGCCACAGCAAAGACCATCAGGGCTCCTAATCCCAAAGAATGTAAAAACAGGGATGATTTGAGAGGAATTCATTCAAATCCTTGAATTTGGATAAGCTTGAGATGTTTTCTTTCAAGGGTATTGTGTTTATTTAC